TATATTCATAAGAAGATTAATGATATTCATAGTTAAATGTAAGTATATTCATTAGTGCAATAACTATATTCATTGCTAAACATTAATACTTTAACTTTCTTGAAATGGTACTTTAAAAATCACTACAAAATGAACAGAATTATTAATGATTACAAAACTCCATCAGGTAATAGAAAAAAGTAGTGTTATCACATGCAATCAATAAAATAAAAAATTGCCGGTTTTTTATATGTTAAAATCCATGTCCGACAAATGCCACTGTACACAAGGCAAATGAGAATATCAGATTCAACTGCAACTGAATCTACAATGACAGAAGGGAAATAAATTTGCTTAGTAATTACAACAAGTAAATTCATGAGGTATGACAAGTTACGCAGGAATTTTTTTTTTAATATTTAAAGTTCAATGATCTATAACTTCTAAACAGTGCATGGTAAAAATTTAAAAATAGCACAAGTTGAGCAACTTTTTATTTCCTATGAAATGGCATCAATTTAAAAAATATTTAAATTTCATGGGAAAGTACCTTAAAATTCCAAACATATCTTGACATTCAAAATTCTATTGTCTCTGTTTTTAAGTATAGGAACTACTTTTGATGATGATTTGTCCTTTATAGAGAATATGAAGTAGCTTTGTTATTATTACTACTATTGCAAAGCCCATGCATACTGGTCAAGTAGTTTCGTTTGATACTTTTTTTGGTACAAATGTACATGCATGTATGTTTGTCAACATATGTCTAAGTGTGGCTAAGGCATAACACTTTACATTTTTGTATATATTTATTTTATAACTTTACTGTAGCTATTCCTTTGTAATCATTGCTTTATTATTGCCATCTTAAGTAAATAAAATATTTTTTTGCATAAAATTGGGTTGTGAAAAAATGAAAGAAACAAGGGGGTTGAGTTCGATAATAATAATTATTATTATTAGTTCAAATAAAAGTAATATAAATTAATTAATTTTAAAAATTTATTCATAAAATATACAAACATTTCAGTCTGCCACTAATCTCCCTGCTCTCAATTCCACAACATCCCCCTCTGCTCTCACGGCCACACCATTTCCATGCTCTCACTTCTACATTATCTTCCTGCTATCACTACCACACAGTCATCTCACTCCTTTCAATGGCAAACATAGGCAAAGCCAGGATGTAAGAGAAGGGTGGGCCAATTGGCACACAAAGCGTGCCTGTAAAAGTTTACAGCCTAATTAATTATTTATAGTTGGTGTGGTCTTAATTGATTAAATCAATTAATTATTGTTATCGAAACAATATTATTCTTCTGTTATCATGATAATTGACAAAAATGCTTATAAAATCATCTAAGACTATAGATGAGGCTGAATCTACCTCCATGCTTATGATAGCAAATGCATTAAGCCTTTCAGTGGTCATACCTGACCTCAGAAACATTTTTACATGTTTGACACATGAAAAGGACCCATTAGACAATGATCATGATAGATGCTGTTTGCTAAATGTAGGGTGATGCAAAGGATCAGCAAGCATAACAGTATGGTTTGTCCACTAAAACTGAATATTCCAGCCAAAGGAAACTTAGTGAACCAGATGGACTGAAATGACCTATCAGTTTTTATACTCAGTACACACAAATAAAATAATTGGGGCGAGCCTGAGCTTCACTTACTCAGATGACTAAGAGGCTGTATGTATGCACGGGCACGATATGGTGGTCTAACTATAATTAATGTGAACAAACCAATATACAATAGACTAATACTGCTCACGTGCTCCTCTTCAATATAAACCAACTGCATTAACAACAAAGCAGTTTCCATGTGTTGTTTGTTAAATTTAAAGCAACATTGATTTTGTTTTCAAGTGAATTTGAGAATTGAGCCAAGTCGAAGCTCATAATAGTTGTCGTAGGGAGCTCTACAGACAGAGAATGGCTGCAAAGACTCCTGAAGCAAGAGAAGCCAGACTGGCTAGAAGAAGAGTCGTAAGTAAAGCTCGTAGGCACACTGAGAATCCTCAGGAGAGAGACGCCAGGCAGGCAGCAGCTAGAGCTTGTAGGGATGCCGAGACTCCAGAAAAGAGACATGCCAGCTTACAATCACAAAGAGAGCAAGAGACTTCTGCTACTAGAAACCTCTGTTTATCTGTTAACAGAGTTAGAACCCTGTCAGTAGAATCCTGCTGATGGAGACCAGTGTTTATCAGATAACAGAGAGGTCACATTCAAGAAGAGAGAAAGAAACTCATGCTGATAGGGATCACAATCTAGCAGCTGAAAGAAGCAGTTATCAATCAAGGAGACACAGAGCAAGGGAGGATCAGGCAGGGGTGTGTCCAGCAGGGACTGAGGTGGGCTTGAGCACAACCATCCTGGCTGGGCTCAGAAACAAATTACTCCAATCCTGGACTTTTGCATCACTGCAAAGCCTCTTAACAATGTTATTTAGCCCCCTGATTATGATATAAGCAGTCTCCAGTGCTTTAAGGAGTGATCAGAAGTCGTCAGAAGTAACAGTATGCTTGAATTTATTTTGACCCCACCCATAATTCACAAAAATGAAAGAAAACGCCCTCAGCACCATCCTTTCCAAATTTCTACATACGCCTCTGATCACGAGTCTCAATCTACTAGCCCAGTGGAATGATGGACTTTCTTGAAAGTATTTCATCTCTCACTTTCTCGACATGTGAAACATATTTGGAACGATTTTCAAACATGAAAGTGTCCAGAAAGCAAAATGGAGTCAATGAGTGTCGTAAGTGTGCTACTGAGAAGCGCATTCCTAAGCTCTACTCCTCTGGAAACAAAATGAAACCTGGACCAGTCCACCACAGTGACAGGTATTAATATTTTATTAATTTTTAAAACATTGATAGTTAGATAGTGGTCGTGTATTAGTGGGAGGTCTGTTTAAATAATGAGAAAGCCACGTACATTGTCACATTGGTGCATGTATTATTATTTTTTAATTACATTAGGACTTATCACAAGCAGATAAAATGTTGGTGTCTGCTATAATGCGTAATGTCCATTTACAGGATACCTCATGGGCAGTATGGCTATAGTGGACATGTCATCAACATTCCTCAGGATGTCAAATCATTTGCCACCAGATAACCCTGCCTACCAGCTCAGATTGATATTGTAGTTGTTCGGAAAGCAGACACACAAGGACTTTCATGTTCGCAGGAGAGTCGTTGAAGATGCGTTGATAGCCAATAATGTGTACTACCAGAAGATTGGAATTAATTTGGATCAGGACACATTGGCGATGCTACCTGAGGATGGAAACCAATCTAATCTTCATACAGTTCAGCCAGCAGAGTCTCAAGGGGTAACAACATCTAATGACACTAGCACCACTGAGGAAGAGGAAGTCTATTTATCATTTGTACCTAATGCTGCACCACCATCTACGCAGAGGGAAACCATTGAGCAAGCTGTACAATTATTAGGACAGTCACAGCCTTCTCATCTCATGTGGCTCAGCATTGGAGGGACTCCTATCAATGAGTTCTAGGCTGAGGTATACTTCTCAATGGCATTCCCTACTTTGGTTCCTACTGGTAAGACTGTGTGACTGTGCCATGATGAATTTACATATTTTATTAGGTGCTGCTGATTTGATTCCTACTTGAATGAATGCCATAACAGCAGGTCAATACTCTCACTCACCTCATGAAGTATGATGATGCAGATTTGCTAGGCACCCTCGCTTTAGTTTCTTTGCCCTCAACACTGAGATGTAATGGTGTACTAATGATATGGGACGAGTAGACGGGTCTGTCATGTTACAACAGGAACTATTCCTTGAGTGTATAGTGACTAT